ACTGTGTTTGTGGCATTTTGAGAGAAAACCTGTAATCATCATGATCTCTTTAATGCACCACAATGAGATTTGACTGTAGCAATAAATCATAACTCATCCTATTCTATTTTCATTGATTTAGGTGGAATAAGGGCTTTGCCCAAAGGAATAAAACCACACAAATAGTTTGTTAGCTTCCAATCACCTCTTTCTCTATTCATTGCTACTTTTCTTTTTCCTTTCATGACTGGTCATGGAAGGTAATTGAGTAATTCTGGTGCAGGATTCATGTTCTTCTTCTTACACGTGAGAAAACTATTTGTGTTTTATTTGAAAGGAGATTAGCAGGAGTTACTTCTTACCAAATACGTAGACAATGTGATACTGTCTTTGTCTCCTGATTGACAGAGAATAAGGTATAATTTTTGACTTTCAGATACAAGTATTTCCAGCTGTATCAAAATCTGCTTGCTGGGAGGCTCTGTGTGCATGTAGTGCTCCAGGGAGAGAGACCATGAAATGACATAGCTTCTCCCCTTATCAGCTTTACCTGCGTGTCTAAGTTTGTCCCTGCTGTCCATGTCACAGCTCTGTACTTGCAGACATTTCAGAGAGCTGTTGGGGAAATACCAGGGTGCAATAACAGAATTTTGCTTCCAAACTCATTTTCCCAGCAACGAGGAGTGATGCAGCTGAGCTGAAAGTGATGGGTGCCACAATGGACTAACTTTAATTTCCTACACAGTTTCTTTTTCTCATTGAATGGACTTGATATTTCAGCACAGAAAGGGGGATTATTGGAAAATGGGCTCCAGCAACCAATGAGGGTGCTGAATGATTAGATTTCTGTTCAAGGAGAGATATTCTTTAGGTAATCGAGTCTTGCTCCTAGTTAGGTGCTGTGATACAAACTTGTCACCTGAGGAGAGGTTTAAGTAATGTTTCAACTAAAGAAATGCTAGTGGTGCAATGACCCCCAATTTTATAGGAATAATAGCCAAATCCTGCCTAGACTTAAAAATAAAGAAAACCAGACCCACAGGGCACAGAAAAGAAAATCTCATTTCGGTTTTAATTGAGAAGCACCAAGGAGAAAACATCTTGTCCCATGGCTGTCAGTGGGATCTCAATACCTGAATCAGAAAGACTTCAAGCTCTGGCATGAAGAAGCAGCAACAGCAGCAGTTCTGTGCAACTCCTGGATGGGAAAGGGGAGAGGAGGTATTTGGTACTTCCCTCACGCCCATTTCCTTCTGCCTGCCGCAATCCCTGTTCTCTTCTGGTCAAGATAAAAACCATTTAGTTCAAATGAAAATGAAGCTTTAAGGAGTGAGCATAGCATCTCTGTTTATCAGTTATCATCCAAGATCTGCACAATGCGAAAGTCTCCATCAAGGTGAAATCTGCCTTATGGAGCCTATGACTCATCAGGGGCTAAACTGACATGAGGAGTACCTTAAAAGCATTTAGCTCATGTGTTAAGCAGCAGGCAAGAGGTTAAGAGGAACATTTTTAAAGCAGAGCAGATTTAGTGATGGAACTTCTGTTGACATTAAATCCCAGACATTGCTTTGAAAATTTACCACCTAAGTGCTACCTTAAATCTGTAATGCAATAATGGTATTAAACAAGGCAGGGACATTAAAGCACTGGCTTATATCTTGGATTGCCATAATGCTATTAAATAGGACGATAGCGAATCTAATGCTTGGTCTTGATTAATTGTGTGAGAGGGATATGCTGGACTGACCAGCACTGTCATAGGCAAATCACTTACTGAAAAGGTTATGCTCTTTTCTTCTCCTTCCTAATTACCTCTTAAATGTTCCATCAGCTCCATCTGAATGGAACGAGGGTACATGCTTAGGTCACCTGCAAGTGAGTATTCCCCTAGGGCAACCCACAGGCTTTCCTCTCCTGCTGGCCATGCCAGGAAAGAAGGACCAATACTCCTTATACCCAGAGGCGCTGCGAAGTAAAAGGAATTCCCTTTCCCATGAGCAATGCTTTATATTCTTAAATGGCATCTGTTTCTAAGGTGAGGAGCAGACATCCACTCTGTTTTTGTTATGGCTTTTGCTAGTGGCTCTCCATCAGTAAATCCTTTTGGTGTATAATGGAGAGATGAAAGGACAATGTTTACTGGTCAAAGGTCATAAATCAAGGGTCAGAGGTCAATATTCGATGGCAAAGGGCTGAAGGTAAAGGTTTAGGGTGGTCAGCTTGCTGAGGTCACTGGGATTAGAATCCTGTCCTGGTTTTCCTGCAGCTCTTTCCTCTTTCTTTGTTATGTGTCCCCAGATCAGGAGGTATTGCTGAGATGGTGAGGGCATCTAGAAAAGGAGGAATAGCATCAGAAAATGAGGGTTTGAGTAGTTCTTGACAGACAGGGGCACCCAAGCCCCACAGGCACACTGGTGTGGTCACTGCCACTCTGGATGAGAGGTTGAAGGCAGAGTACTTCTCTTCTTCCAGCTCTGGGCTGGGACCCTACATAGACTGGACACAGTCCTGAGGATGCCATCCCAGCAATGTTCACATCTACTTGCTGGGACTGAGCCTATTTCCCTGTTGATTCACTGTATTTAAAGCTAAGGCAGCATTTGTTCCTGGGGTTGAAAGAAGGCTGCGAAACAGAGGAGCAGCAAGATTTTATCTTAAGGGACTGCTTCCCTCATGTTAGAGGCAGGTGTTCAGTCTGTGTTCCTCAAAGCAAGAGCTAAGCTGCCCAAAGTATTGGGCATAGACTTGCTTGCTGTCCTCTTCAGATCAAACACTTTGACTCTTTGATGTGCTTATGCAGTGTCTCCAGTACATGGCTGAGTATTTTCCACCATTATTAGGGAATAGCTACTGGTATTTGGAAGGACAGATCCCCATTGTGGTCTTTTGAAGAGACCTAATGTTCAGTTGACTTAACTTCATGCTTCCTAAGCAAAGAAAATATATAATGCTTGAATAACACAGCACAAGAAAAGTTCAGAGATCTGCAGTTGCATGAGGAAAGAACAGAGGCAGAGTGAGAAGAATTTTACTCATGAATTTAAATATCTGAGTCAGCCTAAATAAATTGGTCTTCCTGGAAGACGGCTGGGATCCAGGATCACAAGCATCTTCGGATGCCCAAGAGCAAACATTTGTCATCTCCCCATTAGTGCTGCTCTGTTGGCTTAGTCTCTGTCTTGGCCTGAAAAGGAGCTCTCCCTGGAGATGCAGTGATATATGCACTAATACATGCACTGTCTGTCTTTGCAGTAATGACAGCTCATATCTGACACTTCACAAAGGTACCACAGCGTTTTATCAGGAGAACAATGATACTCTCATTAGAGGCAGAACTAGAGGTGATGTTCACGGTGAAGCTGCTGAATGCTTTTCCTAATAAGATATCCTCCAGATCAGATCTTATAGGGGAAAAAAATGTGGGTTTTACTTATTCAAGGCTCATCTATATGAAGAGACTGAATGAAGATTGGTTAGGCAAACTGAACTCAGGGCTTATCTTACACATGCAGCACTTGACTATACAATCTTAATATCCTCTTAATGCTGTTTTTATAAGACAATTTCACGGATGAAGAATGAGGAGCATGAAGAGTTGTGTTCATAGAAGAACAAAGAATAAGTCAGTACGGGGTAGGAAAAAAAGGAGACAGGCAGAGGTAAAGTTTCTTAGTGAGAGACGTCTCAGGTTAAAGCCTGATATGGCTCAGCTGCAAAAGATCTGCCCATCTGTATTTCCATCTGGGAAGAGAGAATAAACTTCTATAAAAAAATGAGGTGTATATGTATTGAGGTTCATCTGTTAAACATGGTACCAAGTTGAGGTCAGACTATGGAGAAATGCCCTTAGATCCTTAAAAAAACTGCACAAATCCTGCTTTTAATAGGCAGATTAATTTTGAGAAGTAATAGAAAGACACAGGCACAACATTTTAAGAGAAGAGATGGAGTTTGGTTTTCCTGAAAGCAGTATCTCCTCAGGTCCTTTCTTTTTCCATTAAGAATAACAATCAATGAGGCTGAGATTACTTGTGGTTTGTAGCTCTTGAATACCAGACAGCAAGGAAAGATTGACTTTGCTGCAGGATGATAGTTCTGAGACTTGGTTAGATGTCAGTGAATTAATGATTTTATTCTAAATTAAATGAACCATTACATGTTCAATATTGTGCACTTAGAAAGCCATAAAACCCTGAAATAAAATTAACAATAAAAAAGAGAAATTAGCTAATGAATATGGGAACATAACAGGGGTGCACCGCTTCCCTGTCCTTGCTGGTTTGTTTCATAAGTAATTGCTTTCTTTTTCCTTCTACCATGCTTAGTTATCTTAGGCTCCGATGACAGTGTGATTGCCACGTTACAGCCTTCAGCAAATCCATGCAGGGTCCCATGTAAGAATTCAGATGATGGTAGACAGCTGAATATCCTGCTGCTTTCATTATAATCAACTAAACAGAAACTACTGGGGGGTGTGGGCTCCTGCTGGGCTGTAACGTAGATACAGTCTCTGTGCAAGGTATCTTCTGCTGGTGAGGTGTTTTGGATCAACATGATGTTAAAACCTTTCTTTGCAATTAGAGATCAAATACAGCAGTTGAGCTCAAGATTAGTGTTGGCTTTCTACAGACTTCTGGATGGAAAATGGTATTTTAACATACTCCTATTAGCAGCGGACTAACCACAAAAAAAGACTTGCCAGTGGCCAGTGTACTAATCTGTGGCTTGGTGCTAAAACTTTCTGTGTCTCTGTGTGTGATTCTAGGGGCGTGTCATTTAATTTCTCTGTACCTCAGGTCTCCATCACTAAGGAACAGTTTATGTTCCTTTTGGTTCTCTGATAGAAATGCTGTTCGGTTTTAGGCTGACATCCTAAAGATTAAGGACCTGAAGAATTGCATGTGTCCAAAGGCAACATTAAATTCCCATGTTCTCTCTACACTTTTCACAAGCTCAAATCTGTCATTCTGATTCTCAAATCTGTCATTCTGATTGTCTCTTTTTGTCTTTTTTTGCAGACACTTCCAACAATGGAAAATTTCACAAGAGGTACACCCACAAGAGAGCTAGAAGGAAGAAGAATGCTCTAAATACATCTTTTGCCAGTGGAAAAAAAAAGAGGAGGATGAAGTAAGCATATCTTAAACAGTATTACAAGTTTTCTTTTTGATCCTACTGAAAAAATCTTATTCATTTCAATGGAATTACCAAAGTGTAACAACTTCAAGGAGAGTTTGGCTTATGTGGGATCAGAGCAGGAGGCTCAGGAGTAGAGGCTGGCAGGATGCCAGAGGTGTTTCATTCCTTTACGGCTCCTTTTTCTGGGAAGGAGGCTGAAAGGGGAAAAACCCAACAGCTTATGTACTGAAAACATTTCATCAAACAGATCGCTCGTGCAAGCCACAGTCAGAACGTCTATTCCCGGCTCCTACGGTGAAATACATAGAGCTCTGACCTAACGGATACTCTCTGTGCTGGAAAACTGGGCCATCAGTATGTGTGGTACAAATTAAGTCTAGTGGAGACAAGAAGTGACATTTCAAGGAAGGAGATTTCTATTTGAGTACCAGGGGGGTTACTGAGCTGCTTGATGACACACAAAGCATTGAACCAGTGCTGCTTTCCAGCCCCCAGTGCAAACCACAGTCTCTGAGCTGTTGAGCCAGCTCTGCTCAAGAGTGACTGCAATAAACTCCTGATCTCTGTACCATATATCAACCAGCAGATTAAATATTCACCACCAGTACTTAATCTATAGCTAGAAGTTATCACAGCTTGGTTACACATTTGGTTGACTAAACCTCTCAGGTGGTTTTGTCCAAAATTCCCACTGACATAATCCAGATACAGGCTGGATGTGAGGTCATCTGAATCGCCATGAGGATGAAAGATTACAACAACCCAGAGGATTAAATCTAAACCTGTGGTGCTTATGGTGCTGCCTCCATGGAAAGATTTATGAAGGTTTGGCAATTCCAGCCTGCCAGTGAAAATAGATGCTTTAGCAGTACAGTAACTAAAACTAATGTTGTATTTCTGCTGGCTGCTGCCCATGCATTTCCTGATGTATTTAGTTCCTAGGTTCAGGGCTAGAAGACCTTACTCATCACACCCCTTAATACTCCAATCCTACTGCAAAGCCTGGCACCTGGCTTGATGAATAGTTACTGGTATTAATCATTGGAGAGAACCAGTTTCTTCTTTGTACATTTGTCTGAAAAATTGCTCTTTTTGTGAAAGCTTTTAATGGATTTCTCAAGTCTTTCTCAACTATGACACATAATGCCTGAAATTCAATGGCAGCAACAAATGAAAGGGACAAAAAAAGAGATGGAAGCATAATTATCATGTATCAGAATACAGTGCTTTGGTAACTGAAATTCACAGGTGATGTAGCAAGTTTATCATTGCCAGGCACTGGGGTTGACAGTTCCCTTCCTCACAGCCACCCATACTGCTCTTCCTTCTCCAAATTTAATTGCTTGGCAGTTATTGGTTAGGAGAAAAGCAGTAATCACTAGAGATTAATTGCATCTCTCTGAAAGACCCATCCCTGGAACTGACAGCAAGAATGGCCTCAGTGCTTCTGTCCATAGCCTCATTTAGCAGTGAAAATACAGCAAGGGTTTTTTGGACAATGTCAGTGGGAGGTTGCCAGCTCTGCTCTTGGGCTTGGAGCACCATGAGCACTCTGCTATTTCCATTACAATGGGGCACAAATCATCTGATTTTCACAGGAAATAATGAGAAACCATCTCTGGGCCTGCAAGAGCTGCTATATTGCATATAGCCCCTGTGGAGAAGCAGATCTTATCTTGCTGGAAGCAATAGATGGGGAAAATGATGCAGAGCATTGACTGGGGTGGGATTCCTGCCTTTTATAGAGAAGGTTGGGGTGGGATTTTACTGAACTTGCCTTAGATTTTCTCCCTTTTGGCTTTTACACACCATGGACTCCACAAAAAACAATGCACCCTCATGATCACAAGTCAGATCCACCCTTCTGTTCAAAACCTGCTTTGGTCCAAACTAAGGTATCAGGCTCTCTCTGACCTCTCTCTGAATGATGGGTTGTCACCACAAGCTCAGTTTGGCAGGAACAAAGCACTCAGTGATTCCCAGCCACCTTTTAAAATACTATAAAGGACAACACTATTTTCTTTGTCATCCAGACTTCCTTCCAGATCACAATTCCCAGGTTATTTCTAATTCCATCTTAAAGGCGCAGACCATATGTCTTTGCTGTATTTCCATCCCCTCTCGATACAACATACAGTTTAATTTCACACCTTACAAGCTCTTCTGTCTTGCTGTATGTGGATCAGCATACAGCATATTGTCAGCTATAATTAAGCAATTAGTATTACAAGAGATGATGTAGGAAAATCATATATCTGGTCTTGAAATCTCCAAGCAACTGGGGAAGAACTTTACCAACGACATGTACCAGGTTCACATTAAGGGAGTTACAGAAGCACAGCCACTACGTTGGTGCAGTACCATAGGTTAGAAGCTGAAATTCTCATTCTGGGGTATGTGCCATAATTTTTAATAAAAACAATTCTAAAATAGAGCTGCTGCCAAGCAAAGCCTTGCTAGGGCTGCCAGAAGGCTTTCTGAGGTGCTAGCCCAGCAGAAAACCAGGCAGGGTTTAAATGTGGCTGGTAAGGAAAGTTTCTTTAGATACCTGCTGGATTTACACAGGAATTCCAGCAGACTGGGGTGCTTTTTCACTGAATTGGCAAATTTCTAATGGTGGAAAGTAGTCTGTTTGAGAATTTCCAGCCTGCATTCCTGTGTTTCACATAGCAGCTGAGAACAGCTCTTCCAGATGGTTTGAGGTAGGAAAGGAAAAGCACATTTGCTGTATGACACTGGAAAGTTCACAGAGCCAGAGGATAGGGATGAACCTGGTTTGGGGACAGGACTCAGCAGTGACACATGGAAATCGTGGCTTTTTCCCACAGCACTTTCTGGCTTCTGTTCTAATAACATCTCACTGTCACTCCTGAGGCGAGTAAAAATTTCCCATGGGAGACTCTTGTACTAGAAGATATCCAGACAATTAAAACAGGCTACTACAGCGCAGGAAATATGTAAGCATTTGAAATAAAATTCAACAAGTGCAGTGTAAAATGCTTAAATCCTGCAGCTTTTGTTCATGCTAAGCCCTCAAGTAATGGCAACTGGATACTGAACGGCCCAAAGTCTTGCCAAAAAATCTTTTGTCTGGTACACTTGCTGCTTGTATTAAACACAAAGTCTCTTCTGGACAAGGTCAAGCAGAGTTGGTGGCAACAAAACCTGGCATCAGTTTCTGAGATATTAGTGGCCTCGCTGATTGGCCTGTGTGCTGGCTCTTTTATTTGACTTGCTAGAGCACCACTGAAGCTGTGTTGTGAAATGACTGATGGAGTCCAAAACACTTATGTGATAAGCTACTGGGCCCCTCTTGTGTCTTGATAGTTTATGTTACATGACATGATTTTTCTTTCTGCCCTGCATCTTGAAAAGGAAGATCGATGTTGTGGAGAATTGCGAATTGGCTCACACCGCAGAGCAGATTTCATTACCTGCATACCAGTCCTTGAAGTATGTAGTAATTCTCTGCTTTACATTACTGGAATTTTTCATCTTTTCTAGGAACTAGGTATTGATCCCTGGAAAATGAGCAACACTTGAAATAAAATACAGACAACTGCTATCCCAGTTGTCCCACTAAAGAATGAAATACTTCATTAACATCTCATGAGAGCACTGGGAACATGAATGGAGGCCAACGTTCCTCCTTTGTAACTGGTGCGCAATATCCAAAGAGGAATGACTTAGAATTCCCAGGATTAGTTACACACTGATTCATCTAGTGTAACTAAGCCAGCTGTAAGTTGGAATGGTCTTTTCTACCACCTCAAGATGTTTTTTCTACTTTTAAATTGTTTTATTGCATTCCAGCCTAAATCAGTTACTTGCAGTTTAATCTTAAATGAAGTAAAGGAAATTCAAACCATCACAGAAGCCATAATTAGCTTGATAAAACTAGGTCACGCTGTAAATTAAACCAGCACAACTTCATACATCCATATGCCCTTAAACTTCTTGACTGTGAAGAGCTTACATCAAATTGGTAGATGCAGTCTTCCTCAAAACTTCCGCTTTGAGGTTTTGCCTGGGGAAAAAAGCCCTTCAGTCTAGCAGAGGTAGCAAATCTGACTGACATCTGAACATTGTCGAAATGCTGAGTCTCTACCTACGACTATATAGTTTTCTTACATGCATTTAAGAAATGATGGGAAGACAAAACAGCGATATGCTGTGTTCCTGATGATTTCCATGCAGCAAAGGTACCATTGAAGACTAAGCCCCTAAGAATTATCCAAATCTCAGCTTGCATGTTAAATGGTGGCTACATGGAAACACACATCAAATTAGCATGATTCAGGGAAGTGCAATTCACTGGCAGTGAGGAATCCAAGACCATATGTCTCCCATACTACTTTAGGTGCAAAATAAAGTGTAATCAAGCTCAAGAGGTAACCGTTCAATACAGAAATGGGATCTAACTAAGATGAAGTCTCTCATGATTGTGAGAGGTTGGAGAGACTGTCCTAATTCCTCTTTATCCACCTACACAGGGTGTAAATGATGCTTGGATCACATCTCTCCTCCTGAACGAGAGAATGCTCCCCTTGGAAAGCCTGTCTCAGCCCAGTAAGACAGAAAATGGATCTAGGTATAGATTTGGCTTCTTCATGCCCAAAACAATCTCATCCTGCATTTTGTGCCAAGTTTCTTATTGATATATTTCATCGAGCTAGAGACTGATGACACCTAAAACATCAATGGTGTTATGTAAATATCTATCCTATAGACTCAGGGTTATCCACCTAAGGCTTCTGAGGTTTCCAGTTTACTTCTGAGGGGTCCATGAAGAGTAACTCTGACTAATGCTCCTTGTCAGTTGGCTTAAATTCCTCAGCTGAAAAATGCTTAGGGGGGGCTGCAAATCCAAAAAGGTTGAAAAGCAAGGCAGTCAATAGACAGATAATGTCAGTCAGTCAGATACTGTTAGTGTCTGACAGAAGAAATATCAATAGCTGGCATGATTGATGGGGAATAAAGGAAATACCACCCACAAATGAAAAGTATACAAACAGGATTTGAAAGCTCCGTGTTGGATTCATTTTGGGGCTTCTTATTTTCCCCCTTTTTAAGCTGATTTGATTTCACTCCTCAGTGTAATCCTCTGGTCCAGGCATTCTTTATAACACATATATAAATAAATACAAAGTGGCCCTTAGAGCAGCACCATCAAAAAGGGTCACTGTGCCCACCTGAACGGAGCTTCTGTGTGCCGCTATGGGGGGAAATGGAGATAGATCTTCCTATATTGAGCAACCTTTGTATAATCAACGGTGTGTTGCTTAATGCCATATAAGCATGCAAGGAAAAAATAAAGGAGAAAAGGCTTTTTTCTTTTTTTAACTGGAGCACAGGAGGAAATGATGGGTAATTCAGTTGTTTTGAGTTTTTTCATAAAAAAAAGTCCTTTTGTACATGTTCATCTCCTGGTGTTTTTGATTCTGAAGTGTTAAGCCACTTGAAATAATAGATAACACAGAGGTTTTGGCTGAAATCTAGGTCTTTGAGTTCTGCCAGGCTATAAATAAACATGGATTGATTTACATATTTATTAAATTCATTCTTACTAGGTTGCAAGCATTTCAGGTTTTTCACATGCTGTGGTCAAAATGCCAGCAAGGTCATTCTAAGAAATACAGAAATTCACAAAATCATTTCCCAGTGCTGGAAATGCATCAGTTTAGGAGCAAAGAAACAAAGAAGAGAGAAGGCAACACCTGGGGTCTGTTGTGGGTAAAGGTGGGGAGGACCTGAAGGAACTTCATGGATGTGTTATATCATTAATAGGCAAGATATTGATGGATACCTCTCAGTTGCCATCATTGGAACGATGTGACTTACGTTTGCTTGTGGAATAGCAGATCAGATTATACCGAAGGGCATGCCTGCTGCCTCAAGGAAGCATAAAGAAACTTATGGTGGAGAAGAAAGAAAAGTATGAGTCCAAACATCACCACTGTTGGTTAAGATGTGTCCCTTCCAGGCACCTTTGAGAAAACAAACCCATCTGAATCATGAGCTCAGTTCTTGCTGGCAGCTACATATCCATTGCACAAAACTGAGCATTTCATCAGGGGGTTTAAGCAAGGACTCAAGGTCCTATTTCCAAAGAGAGTGAAGTATATAAAGGTACCTTGTGGCTTTTTTTTTTCAAAGCCCTGTGCTCTCCTCATGTGGAATGAAGTGCTCTTGTTCAAAAAATCCAACTAGAGACTACTTGCATCTTTAGCTGCCTTCCATCCAATCAGGATTTTTAAGGACTGTAAAGACAGCTCCATTGCAGCTAGAGCTTCATCTCACGTTTGAGCAGGTCTTCGGCGCTAATCACACTGTCTCCTCAGCGCCTGCTGTCTGTCTCAAGCTGGAGCAAACTGGCTGGCTGCGTGAAGACGCTTGGGTATCATGAGAGGAGAAAAAGACTGGTTTATCCTTGGCAGCACAGCTGTGAGCAGATTGTGCCACACGGTGCGACAAACTCAAGTGCTCACTGGCATGTACAACAAGGACAATATAAACAGTGCCAACACGAGTTATGTTTGGAACGAGTGATGCAACTTTTTGTTGCTACTTTTCTTTCACACCTTCAAGCCTTTTGACCAAGCTGCGCCACAAAAATGTGAGAAGCATGTCATTCACTGGAGGGCTGAGGAAATACTGCTATTCTGAGCAGCAAAGAACAAAGTCAGTCCCCGAGCCAATATGTAGATCACTGAAGAGTTTACATATTGTCATCAAGTATGGATGCCAGAATCTGATGTCTTTGGTGGCACATCAGCAACATGAAGCTGTCTCAGAATGGAAATTATTTGTCACACTCTATAAGACTGACACTTGACATCTGGTTTGACAGGTTATGAGGCATCATGAAAACAGCCTTATAAATGAAGAAATACAGTTCATCCATCAGAGCCTACAAACAAGCCTGCTGTAATCTGGAGGTGCTGGGATTCTCAGGAACAACTGAAGGCTCTGCCACTGCAGCAAAGATGAGTTTGGCCTGTTGGGATAAAGTTAATTATCTTCCTAGTAGTTGGTGCAGTGCTGTGTTTGGGCTTTAGTCTGAGAATAATGTTGATAACACACTGATGTTTTAGTTGTTGCTCAGTAGTGCTTATCCTGAGTCAAGGACTTCTCAGTATCTCATCCTCTGCCAGTGAAAAGGAGCACAAGAAGCTAAGAGGGAGCACAGCCAAGACAGCTGATCCAGACAGACTAGCCAATGGGATATTCTATATCATAGAACGTCATGCTCTGCATATAAACTGGGGAAGTTGGCTGGATGGTGCCAATCACTGCTCAGGGACAAGCTGGCATCAGTCAGCAGGTGCTGAGCAACTGTATTGTGCATCACTGTTGGGGTTTTTTGTGTTTTACCTTTTTTCACCTGATTTTCCTCCCCATCCCTCTGGGAGGGTGGTGGGAATGAGCGAGCAGCTGTGTGGTCCTTAGTTGCCACTGGGGTTAAACCACGACAGCTAGTCCTCCTCCAAGGCCATTTGGCATAGTCACCCCAACCCCCACATCAAGAAATAGGGTTTCTTATGTCTCCTTAACTAACAACTCTGAGAAGACCCTTAAGCCAAAGGACCAACGGGCATGAGGAAATGGAAGAGTAGGCAGAAATTGACTGAAATGTGCTGTGATTAAAATCCCAAACACAATGGTAATGTGTTACTACAGTGGCACATAATCAGTCATTTATTAGCATAATGTTCACTGCAGGGCACTTTTAAATACTGACCCGTGTAGAAGCAAATGCCCTTCCTGTAGCAGTCCTGGTGTGACTCAGTTTCTGAGGGATGTAGGGACTGAGACATAGTTTAATATCTGGTGCTACTGAGGAATGCAGTAACATGCAAAGGAGCGAAGCACTCTACGACAGAGAAAGATAAGATACTCTGCTTAGCAATAAGGTCATGACAGCAAGCACCAGTACACCCTAATCGAATTATCTTTTTTCTTTGAAAGCATAAAGCGCTCATACTAGTCTCCTGTTTCAGTGCACAGCTGGTTTCACATCACTGCAGTATACAGAAAAGTCTCCATCCTCAAGGTCACTGCTGATTTTGTGCCCAGCGACGTTCAGGATAGTTTTGATGGGTCAAAGACCTCAGATTTTTTGCCTCAAATCAATTGCCCTGCTAAGAACTTGCACAAATGGCTGCATGGGATGAGAGCAGAGGTATGTCTAACCCTGTATCCCCTTCTCATCACAGCCACATCAAAAGATAGGCTGGACACCACCCGATCTCCATCTGAAGCAGAGCTGAACTCAAATACATTTGCTTTTCACTTGTGCATCAGCAGACTCAGTTTCTGGAAAAATGACAGGGGACATGTATTAAAAGCTGGGGGCTTTCCAGTAATAACTCTAATAAACCAATCACACCCATTGAAACCAACCAGGCATGCCATTTATTTGGTGTTCTGATAAATTATAGCTCTGGGGTGCATCAGGGGGCCAGATTTTTAAAGCTATTCAGCTGTTTAACTCTCATTGATTTCAGTGTAATTGATTTCAGTGGGAGTTAGGTGCCTGTATTGCTTCGTGCTTTGGGCCAGTCCCTTCTCTAGTAACTGTACCAATTAGGCAGGAGAGCTATTTATCAGGAGCCCCATTAAATAGAATCAGTGGTGCCCAATTACATCTAAATTACCAGTTCAGCCACGCTGATGGCTGAACGGGAGGGGTGGCTGTTGCTGTAACACTGGCACCACCATTGACAGGGTGAATTTCTTCCATTGTACCCCACTTATAGCAACACTTATCCAGGAAAAACATCCTGCTTCCTCCATTGACCCCAATTTTTTTTACCCTCCCATGAGGTCATTCTGACATTGCAACAGCCTAATGGTGTAATGGATACTAGGAAGAAAAGCAGGCTGACTCCAAACCTAAATAAGTGGGGCTTACATAATTAGAGGGTGAAAGAAAGAGAAACTAGAATCACAGACATGGTCTTTTCAAGGTTTCCAAGGCAGCAAGTGGCTGCTTCTCACACAGCGTGTACCATAACCGTGTTTTCAGCTCTACAGCATCAGTTTCCCTACTGTTGAGGAGGAAAAAGATCTACCTTCTTTTGAAATGGGAGTGCTTTTGAAATAATAAGAGAGAGGGCCTGGGACATTGAGCTCCACATGAGTAGCTGTGGTGACATCTTCATTTATTTGATATAATCTTCTGACATTTGGTTCCATTTGCAGGTGAGCCATTTGTAATGTTAGGTACAAAGGATTCTGGTGGCATGATCTCTAACTTTTGCCCTGCATCTAATACTGAAGATCATTCAACCATGATGAAACCAGCTGGAGGAAATTCCTCTCTTGCAAGATATGAAGGCCAATGACGGTATGAAAGATGTGGGGTTGCTTTGTCATTTATTTCTCCATTTTCCATATGTTTCTCTGATTGGTGCAGGGAAAGGCCCATTCATTAATACAGCAATTCATGTGAACTGCAGGCAGCTGAAGGAAAAAAAGAAGGCAAGGAAAAAACCCAGCCAGCAAGGCAATGCAATGACTGAGCAGGACAGCCTTAAGGGAACTCTGGGAATGCTGCTGAAAACAACATGAGGATGGTAGGTCTGGATGGCTAAGCCTCCCCTAGCACCACACTTCGGGCAACAGTCTTGGGAGAAAGGGGTTCTAGAAGGGGAAAAGAAGATCCTTTTGACAAAAGCACAGAGCATTTCCGCAGAGCTGTCAGAGCACCAGCAGGTGAAGTGGGTGAGGAAGCTGACCCTAGGAAGTATAGGAATATTTCCCTGGACAGATGGATCTTTCTATATAGGTCAAACCCTTGTTTTCTGCCAGCCTCTTTTCTCACTCCTAGGATGACACCAGCTGCACCACACAGTACTGCTGGTTCCTCATTCTTGAAAGGAATCTTTTCCAGGTGCTAAATCCAATCAGAACAATGTAGCTCAGGTGTTGACAGGAACTTAGAGCCAATGTGTTGGAAGAACAAAATGCACAGACAGCATTCTTATACTCTACACCACCAGCAGGCAGACGTCTTGGCTTGTCCGTACCACCAGGCTTCCCAGGGTATCCCTCCCAGTTCAAGCAAGCTTCATGTCTTACTAGGAGTGCCTGAAAAAGGTAAGTGCTAACTAAACCCACTTCCTTTTGAGATCAGCCTTTAATGAAAGCTCCTTGTCACCCACAACCTTGCTTTAGTATGAATGAGCCAGCTAACACACTGATGGTATGCGAGCACATCATTGTATTGCAATTCAGTATATCATGCTTACTACTGTTAGGGGGAAGATATGAATAACTCATTTAGCTAGATTTCATTTTCTTACTCTCTGGAAGGTCTGCAAATTAATTCCTCAGTGGGCTTTCGTTCCAGTACTTAACTTGATCTTTTCAGCTGTAGCAGTGATGATTTCTCAGTCTCTGCCCTCTTGTGCAAGAAAATAGCTCCATAATACCCTACCTTCTCTTATCTATCCTCAGAAGAGCTCTCACATAGCCATGCCAGACAGGTCAGAAAACAATTTCATGTATTTAGGTGGAGTTTTTAATACCACAGTGGTTGGTTTGTATCAGAAAATATTCCTTATTCTTCACAAGACCAAGAGCAAGCACCACCACTATGGACTTTCCCTCAGCAGGCATCCAAATTCTCGCCTCGCTTCAGTTAAGGCCAGAGAAAATAAATGTGACTCATTTCTGTTAAAAGAAAGAGAGAAAATAAAAACCCCCTATTATTTTGTTTTCCTCCACCATCCCCAATCTTTTTCCTCCACTATCCTGATCTTTTTCTTCTCTGTTCTTTACCCAGCTAAATTGTGCATTCAGTGCTGAGCCCAACTAACCTTATTTACAACGTGCCACTCTTCATAGGTGTGGGAAGGAGGGCATGGAAACTAACGAAGTAATTACTCCCGGCCTCTTACTTGCAGAATCTGGCACATAGCAAAAGCTTCAATGGTATTTTTTTCTTGTGATGGGGAGAAAAGAAAGAAGTAAAAACCAAATAAAAAGCGATGCTGCTTGGCCAAAGCTCAGTGACTGAGGAACTTGGCTCCATGCATTCATACCTCAGGGTGAAAGCTGGCTTTCTCCTTCATGATTAGCTAATGTTTTCACACCTTAGGTTGTAAAAATTTTAAAGTGGAGTATCAGGGCTTCTGGTTTCTCACTGTGAATGGCACATAAAGGCACCTTCTTGCCACGGTAACAAGCAAAAGACAGTTTTGTAGCTAGAAAAGGTACAAAAGAAAAGCTACAGAAATAGTAAAGGTAGATAGGAAATGGTTTGCTCATCAGGGAATGTTATCGTTATACTGTGTTGGAGGAATGGGAAAAAAAGACAAAGTTATCGATACAGCCTGTTCTTACTGAAGTAAAATGTGTCAGGGTCTGATGCTTCTGTAGATATGGGAATAGAGGCAAAATGAGGCTGGGATTGCCAGTGTGCTGAGTCCTGCCACCAAGGCCGTCTCAACCAGGAATCTCCTGGTCTTCTTTCTTCAGATACTTTTTAATATGCTGTCTTTTACAGCTGTAAAACCTCCCATCTATTACCCTTCCTGAATTTCTCCATTTATCAAGCAGTTGCTTCTACCAGATCTTCCTTAAGACAACCCTTTCTTGAGCCATAAATATCCCTGTTTAGTTCTTCCTGAGATCAAATTCCTATTGCACTTCACGAGCACTTGGCCCCAAACAAGAATAACGCCATGTCCAGGAGATCTCTAAGCAAGTCTTCAGCCCAGGTTAATGCTTTTATTTTTGCTATTAAGTATGAATCATCTCCAGTGCCGTCAGCAGAGGAGTGAGTGTCCTAGCCAAGAGTTTTAATACTTCCCAGAGGTCTTTTGCAGTTGATCCAGGCTGGCTAATAAGCCTATAGCTTGTGCACAAGCCTTTAAACATCTGCTCTAAGTGCACCATTTTAGCCCTTTGAGTCTGGCCTTACACATGCTATTTTTGGCTTGTGCTAGTGACTGACATGTTCTCCTGCTGACTGTGTTATTTCACATCCTGGAAACACTGCAGGCTGTGAGCTACAGGACTCTTGGTTTGGGAAAAACACACGTTTCTTCCGTAAATCCGTGTAGTCCAACTGTGTTCTAGTAAGAGTCACCTGGCAATGACAAGAAGGGCAAGAAAAGACATCGGTACTGAAAAACATTAATACCTAATAAATAAAACAGTGCATTAACAGAGATAATTTGATCAGCTGGAATCTCAAATATTGGTGTAGAAGAGGAGTATTTATAGATATGGGTTGCTCCAGCCCTGTTTAAAAATACTGACAGAATTTAGAGGGAGAACTCGGATTACTGCATAGGGTGGAAGTGGCCAACCTAACATTTGCAGTTCTCTTGGAAATCTTTGGGATTTCAAGCAGCCTGGGGCAAAGTATACTTCACACACAGTGCCTGCCATGTGTTTAGCCCTCTCCACTCAGGAGGCCAACTGCCAGGATTCATGTAGCATGTGTGAGTATGTGTTTGGATAAAGCATTAATGGAAGGGGAACTTATGCAAACTTCCCTCTGCTGAGGTCACCTGAAAAACTTCCGCATGCAGCTTTAATGCTGTAGCTGGTTTATAACTCAAGCCCAGACAGTGCCACTGTAGAGTTTTTAAGCTTTGTGACTGTCCTTTCATTTCCAGAAAGGGAGTATTTCCCCTCACTTTATTAGCTCAAAACTTACGCATCAACAACTACAAATACCTACTGTATCTATTTCAGGTTCCCATGTAGGTAACTCCAAACTAGAGCGTACAACACCTGCAGCAATAGCGCATAGGTTGTGCCTCAGTATTTAATACTAAACAGTTCCCATTCCCTCAGACACATGCAGCAATAAAGTGCTCAGAGTATTGGAAGGACAGTTGAGTTTGACACAGGTTTCATTGATTCAGTGGATAATAATCCTTCCTCTGGCAATGCGAATAGTCTTGGCAGTGCCCAAAATGTCTCTGAGAGTGCTGAGGAGGTGCCAGCTGCTGACATGGTGGGAGATTGAATTCACCCTGGGGAAGGGGGGAGGCTCATTTCTGGTTGTGGCTGCAAAACAATAAGGGGTGAAAGGAGAAGGGCAGGAACATCCATCCAGTTATGTAGGTTTTCCTGAGATGACCCCTATGCGTGTAGTGTATGGGTATATTCATCCTGATTTCTCTGAATTTAGCATTTTTTTGTTTGCTGTATTTTTACTGTTTGTTTCTTGCTGAGCTGCTGAAAGTTCCTGAGATCATTCTGTGTATTTGTATGTCTGCCTCTAACCTGCCCCCAGACTGTGAAACCTGTGGGTCAAATTCTGCCGGCTTTCAGCTGAGCCAAATTTCAGCTGAAGGAAAGGGTTTAATCTTTATTAGACCATTAGGCAATGTGCTCAGAAAAGAGACACCAATAGGTTGTGCCAGAGTTTAAACCTCTCAAAATACAACAGAATCCCACCACTGAGCACATCACTGTAGAAAGCCAAGCTTTTGACTTCATTGTGTTTTGACTTCATTTAAAAATGCAAATGGTTGCACCCCGTTCATCCAGCCTGGCAGGGAAGATGAGTTTGAGGAGGTACAGCAGGCAGCACACAGCAGTGCTTTCGATATATCTTGCTATGCTTCAGCAGAAGAGTTCAGAATGAAGCCTGAGCGTTTAATGTATCAATGAACATTGATACTGCTTTTCACTGGTAGTACAGAAGAAGCTATAAACACTTCTGTAAACTCAGAGGAGAGTCCTTGCACAATTATGTTTGAAGACACTGTCTCCAAAATGATTAACGAACAGCAGTAATGGGTCTGTATTTGAACATGATGCTGCTGGAGTTAATATCCAGACCCTTCCCCGTTTGGAAAAGCCATTTTCTAGGTGTTTGAAAATGGGCTGGTTAATCATCAAAATGGGAATCATTGAAGCGAGAGGTGCTTCAGAGATGGGCAAATGAAAGAAAAAAAGGCTGTTACGTTTCCTGAAGGTGACAGATCTGACAACATTCTGTTTCTTCTGGAAGACAGAGATGCTTCATCTGGGTTGACATCAGGGAGTATGGTCAGGATGTGGGATTGTGCAGACTTTATTTTATTGATACTGCATACAGGCAAAAAGTGGTTTTGTTTTGTTTTAATTATATATTTTTAATGGTTACGTTTTGCAAGATACTATCTGTGCAGAATAGGAAACATTGCATGAGGAACAGTTGCTCGTGTCTTTAAATATTAACTGGAGTTCTTGCACTGACAGTATGAGCAAAGGTGATCTTTACCTCTCATTATACCCGCTTGGATTTTCCACAGTTGATTTGGCTTTCTGCCCGTGAGAGGACTGTGCCAACACTCTTTCCTCTCAACCTTTCATACTAAAACTACAAGAACCAAATTTATGTCAAGGAGCACTGACTGGCTGGAGAGCTGATGCAAGTTAACGCTTGTGTAATGCTGCGAAGATGCTGAACACTTCAGAAATGCTGCTTGTTCTGAAGCTGATCAGAACAGGTTGGAGATACACAAACAGCATGCCTGTACTGCTCAGGGAGTAGGGAAGGTCTATTTGGATTACACATGAGACAGCAGGCAGCGCTGAAGGTATGGTGAATTGAAGAGAAGGCTTAAGGGCAGCATGGTTAGGCATTTGGGAGAGCAGAATTGCTGTCATCTTCCCCTCCAGATTTGAATGCATTTATCACAGCTACAAGGCTAACAGGTTTGGGGGATAAATATGCATTGTTACTTATCCCTAGAGCACCGGAGCTTTCCTCCAGGACTGGGTTGCACAGCATTGCTGTAATTGGAATGTGACTTACAGTGAGAACAATGACACTGCCAATTCTGGCATGGAAGGGTACCTAAAGGAGCAGAGAAGCTTAAGCTGTACCCATGCAGTGAGGCCAGCTCAGGAAACCATAACCCACTGTTGTTTGCTGACGTGCTACAGCACATTAACATGGCTTTGCTGTCACTGGATCCACATTAGTATCTCCATAAGGAGATATATGCCTTTTAAATTCCTTTCAGGACCTGCTTTGGTACCCATGCTACAGGTTTTCTCTGTTGGTGTAGGCGCTTAGCTTTAGTTTAGTGATAACAATAGGGTTTCTGTCCTGTACATCATTGCATGGCTTGTACTTGTCATGGTCTATACGTACCACCTGCAGACAGGTTCGGATAGTTGGCATGTTAGTGAATCCTGTTCTAAAAGCAAAGGTTCAGAGATTGCAGGTAAAATCTCTTAACCAGAAAATTCTCACTACATTAAATCTAAATTAAATCTTTCTTGGTCCTTCCTAAGAGCTAAGCAGCCCCTACTGAAGCTTTTCTTTTTGAGCTTAACACTTACAATGTTTTACACATCCTTTACCCAGGGAATATCTACTCAGGTCTGAGCATACTCTTGCAGTTTCTTTTAAAGCTAACAAACCTATCCCTAAAGTGTTGCTGTTGCTTCAGGATTCCACCTTAATTGCTATAACTTTATTCATACTCCTGCCTCATATATTATTGACCTGCCTTCTAGATTGATGGCTTCTTTCCAGATGCAGCAGGTTTTGGGGATGTAGGAGAGTGGAGATCACCTGTGAGGGAGGGAGAGAAGAAAAGAGAAAGAACAAGAAATAGTCAAACAAGTTAGCAAATTTCTCCATTTAGTCTGTCAGCCTCCAGATTTGAAAGAAGGGGCTAAAAAAGAAGACAAAATGGGACTAGAACTGAAGGATTTGGGGGCTCCAGGTAAGGATCCAGCTGAAGTAATTTCAGCAAGAGAATGTCTCTGAAAAATAGCAGTTCAGATGCACTGGGACAATGCAATTGAGCTGACCGGCTCACAGTGAAGGCTGGAAAAAGTGAAGGGAGCAATTTTTATGCCCTAACTTTCATGCTCACATTTTTTTAGAACAAAATGCCTCACTGCAAGTATGCCAGGTTCAGGGGTATGTTTTTGAGCTGAAAAGATTTGTCTCTTCATGCTGAGACAGGAATTTTTACTGAAAAATAGAGCTAGAAGTGTATTTTTTGAAAAGGGAGAAAAGTTTATAACGGTAAATAAACCAAAGCTAAAGAAAACTATTTTTTAGAAATATCCATTTTTACTTGCTTTAAACTGTTTTTCTCCAACACTCTTATTTTCTATTTCTGCCATGAAATCCAAAGTCAGGTTTTTACTGTGCCTCAGCCCTTCAGGCAGCACCGTTCTGACTCCTCAGCACTCCTAGGGCCTTTGCAGGAATTAAATGCATCTCAGAAAAGGACACATTTTGAGGGTGAAGGTTTAATTTGATTTTGGACTCCGTGGCTGTGAGTGGGTGAAAAAGCAAACAAGAACTTTCTCGTGCCTCAATATGGGTTCTGCTAATCGGAGCCCTAAGAGTAAATGAGTTTATTTGCTCGGTTACGGGTAGGAAATGAACTGAAGCAATCCTGCACCCACCAAACATCCAGCCAAAAGTAACTTAGCCAGCTAGAAAATAAGGGAAATGTGATGTCTTGCTGGTCCAGGCAGCCATATACAATTATATACTAGCAGGTAGGATGTCAGTGCCATGGAAGTTCAGATCAGCAGGTACTCTATGGCACCACGCTTCTGTTAGAAGAGCTTAACAGTGAGCACAAGAGTGTTTCTGGGTTTAGGCAGAAGGGTTGGCCATGGGTTTCTGGTGCAGCATATTCAATTTATCATTATTTGAACATACACAGAATTGCAGTGAGCTACTTCAGCAACTCGGATATCCCACAGTCTTCCCCTTCTTCTGAGGAATCCTTCAGGGGTCCTTCCATATTGAACCTCCCCAGTGGTAAGACAGGATACCTTTCTGGATCACAGCAAAAGCTCCCCATAGCCTATATTCTGCAGTCCCAGGCATAGGTAATGCATACGCTGAGGTGCTCTTTCCTAAAGGAGGGAGGGACAGTTTTGACATCCCAGTCAGCTTCTTCATAAAACCTACCTCAAACAGGTTAATACTTTTTTGTTTGAGTACAGCTGGGTCAACTGGGTTGAGGTGGTCATCTCAGGCATATCCAGAGCAGGCTGTCCTGCTGCAGAGAATGCATGCTCTGTGCAGAGCACAGAGGCAGAGGTGTGACTCCCAAAGCAGTGCAGTCACATCGATGTTTGCTGTGCCCCAGCCCACCTTAGGAACCAGCACTTCCTTGGTGATCCCCACTGATGCACCAATGTCTGGTGCACACATTCCCATAGAAAGTGAGCAGCACAGCTAGAAGCACTGTCCAAATTTCCTGATATCTTTTAGTCATCTTTGTCAGCTGAACTGTACTTCTGTCCTGGGAACATCCCAGTGATGCACAGCTTCTGCTGATGAGCTAGGATTAGAAGGACTTTATATAAGGGCTGTTTGATTAAGTGGCTATTATCAGCTAAAAATTTGGTGCTTCCCATTAAGTGCTCTCAAATGCATGTCCTCATTTTACTTATTCTGTGCTTGCATTATGCTTTGGAAGAGGCAGCCTGGCCTTTTTGTCTCAGCCAGGCCTTTCTGCCAACACTAATGTGATGCTCTGTCTTGTTAAGCGCTAGTGTAAGAGATGCAGTGCCCTGATGGAGCCTTTCCTTCAAGGTGGTTCTCTAAAATCACATCACCTTGTAGTTTACCACACAAATCAGCCCAGCCCCTGTGAACTTTCTGCTCCTGACCAGATCCTTCAGTGCCCTCCCCCAAGGCAGCTCTCTCCTTCCAGCCTGCATCACTCACAAAAGACTAAAACAATAAAACTCTCACCTTTTGTCTTTGTTTCTATTGCTGTGCCAGTGCAGTCTGATTTGCTGTCTTTTGCAGCATCTGTGCTCAGGCTTCAGTGATTTCCCATAATAGCCCAATATACTTTTCATGATCCATGTTCAATTTATACACACACCCCAGTTTAATCCTTCTGTCCAGATCAGTTATTTCATACTTTGGTACATCAAATTGCATTCACCATCTGTTGGCCCAGTTGCCCTACATAAGCCAAACCCTCTGAAGGTATAATTGCAATATTGTTCAGTATTTGCTCACTCCCTCTCCTCCCAATATACATAATGAGAGCAAAATTGAAGAAATAATTTAAATATGATTTAAATTCCCTTCAGGTTTTTTACACTGTGCTGATCAAAATAGTAGCTAGGGTCTTCAAAAGAAGAAGCCATCCATCTCGGATGAGCCTCGATGCCCTCAGACAGCTATCTGCGAAAACGAAGGAATTTTTGTAGGACTGGAGCATGGTGTACCAGCATTCACTAAGCTGACGGCAAATGTTATCAGCACATCAGCATGCTGTTAAATCATTGCACAGAAGAATTCCAATCTGGTTAAGCAGGATCCAATTTTATACTGCCACTTCCATGAAATAAATGTACCCAAAACATTATTTTCTTCTTGTCTTATCTGTTCTGATCTCTATTCCAGCCAAAGCTCGCTGTTTGAAGACCTTGCACTATACATTCCACTGGGGCAGTTTTGCAAGCATCTGCAAAGAAAGCTTATAAGCACCAGCCCTCTTCCCCAGGGATAACTATTCCTTCAGTTTTGATTTAATTTTTCCTACAGTCAGGAGGCCACCCACAGATCCCCAGTTCTTCCAGACCTGCTTCATTTCTGCCTCAGCATTAATAGCAAGGGAGGCAGGGGGAATAAGTCTCTGCTAAGACTCATAGGTTAGTCCAGCTCTGGGTTTGCATTTACCTTTAGGACTTACGGAGGTGAGGAAATTGCTGCAGAGCCACAGGGAAGTACCTCTGACAGACATCAGAGGCACACGCTCCAATGCAATACATGTCACCAGTGTGTGCCTCCTGAAGGAGCGACTTCAGTGGAGATAAATAAGACATGTAGTTTCTTGTCAGGCTGCTGCATTTCCCACTGCTTGTTTTAACAATTACATTCGGTGACTTTTTTGTTAAACAACTGAAAAGATTCTTGTAACAGAGGAAGAAAACTTGCACAAAGAAATAAAACATACTCAGACTAAATTTTCTCCCTTGCGCTTCTTGAGGTGTGTGCAATGAACGTGTTTTCAGCACAGCAGCCAATAACAAGAACTGTGGCTTCGGCACCTCTTTGCCACACTCGCCTTTTCAACAGCTGTACAACCAAAACCAGGCAGGATTGAAGCCATCCAAGCTGTGGCTTTGATTTTTGTGCTAGAAGAGAGGGCATAACTTTCCCCCTCTGAAGTCAGTGGAAACACTGCCAGAGATACAACAGGAATCATTAGAGTCCTATAATAATAAGATTCTGCAAATCTTATTTTTAAAGCAATTAATAAAAGAAGTGATTGCCCTTTAGCGAGCAACGTCCCAGTGTGAATTGCTATCAATGCTGCTTCTGAGTGCTTCTTTGCCCCAGTACCTGTGCCAATTACAGGCTTTTTCTATAGAAAGGTTACACAAATACAATTTTATTTCTTATTATTAATTATTTTCAGGCAGGGCCAAGCTTTAAGGTCATGTCTGGACTTACAGTATTGTATATATTGTATACAGTATTGTACATACTATTCTTCTAAGGAAGAAGCTGCCTTTAAGACTGACCTGGTAAATCAGCACTCAAGGAGCACAGATGCTAAATGCTTCAGCACTTCTCTTTGCTTTCAAGACCACTCCACTATTCATGACTACAACTTCAATGCTTTTTTAAACAGTGATGCTTCTGAACTCACGATCAACCTGCTGTAAACAGATAAGATCAATCTGAAATACTATCTGTTTGCTCAACTGAGGCACCTTTGAAACTGAAATAAAATGTAGAAGAAAAAATCGAACTGCCTTTGAAGACCAAATAGAGAAGGATACAACTGAGAAATAGATGCTGCAACAGACATTAACCTGCTCTCTATAAACATCTATGTTTAATTCTGATTCAACAAGATGTAACATGGTATCACAGTAACTGAGATTATTGAAATTGCCTGCGATAGATTTGTCTGTTTTGGTGCAAGGTACGTGTTCAAAATGGGGAAGATTGGGAAAGGAGAAAGGGTGGGGAGGGGGGGATAAATGCCTTTGTTCCATACGATGTGCAAGTCAATAAAAATGCATCTAGCTGTACCTGAATATTTCTCTCATGAAGGATAGAAACACAATCCCCTTGAAACAGCTACAACAGTTTTGTTGGTGGTATTTATTCCAGGCAGAGCACCACAAATCTCCTCCAGTACTGTTGTTATACTGATGCTGGAATCGGTGCCCAGGCAGAGCAGGCTCCTCATGGCAGGGGCAGGATGGCTCAAGACCTCCAAGGAGGAGACTGCTGCTTCGTAAATCAAGTATGTTGATGAACTCAAAGACTTGCAGGAGTAAGTGTTCAGCATTGCCGCTGCTCCTGAGTTTGAGGGTTATTTTTTTAAGGCAACATCTAGGTTATGGACATGAAGATATGGCATTCCAGACTCTCAGCCATCCGAACACAGCCAACAATGAATACTCATTTCTCACCAGGGTGAGTGAATTGATTTCATTTCTCACACTACACTAGTCACTTAACCAAGCTGCAATCCAATGTTTAATGTGTTAGTCACACTGGCTTGTGGAGACCTGTGGTCTGTAGTCTATCATATGGTGACCTTTATGACTGGCACAGTCTTAATCATGACAGAAAAGGCTGACATAGAGTTATTCACATCATTATTTCTAGTACTAAGCCATGGGATAGTTGAAGGAGCAGTAAGGTACGAGTCGAGTGGCATTTACTGTCCCCTGCAGACAAAGGTAGTGATTTGTTGTACAGTTTAAATTTATTGTTCTTAAGGACAAGGACAAAGCGTTGGCTGGATAGGCAGCTGAGAGGAGGCAAACGCTGCTTCAGGTGAAGGAGTGCCCAGAATAGAGGCATCAAGGCTGAAATTCCTCACATTAACTGCTCATACAGCTTTTCCCAGCATCCTCATTCCCCTCCAAAAGCACTGAGGAGAGAATTTGTACCGCAAAATGAGGGATGAGCCAGTGACATCCTCAAGTCTTGTAAAAGCTTCATATTTGTTAAGCTCAGCATGGAAGATGCTCGAATACTCTAGCAGCATACAGACATAAAAAATGACCAGGAGACTCCAGCCCACAGGGAGTTTGCAATATGAGATGCTGCCTTATGAGCAGGAAGGTCTCTGCTCCCATGAGAAGCTCTAATAGCACAGACAGTATTTTTCATCGAGACCAATCTCACCTCTCAATGCCCTCCCCCTGTAGAGAAATAAATGAGAGAGATCAATATTTCTTCATTCTAATTTTGCCATTGCTAGCTTTCCTTGTAATTTTTTAACTCTTTCCACCTTCCAATCTGTCCTTCCTTTCTATAAATGTTTTCATCTGTTCAAAGCATTTTCTAGTTATTACATGAGCTGTATCAACATCCCCCAGAAGAATAAGAAGCTGTGATTTATGGTGTGATCCTCCCCACTGTGAACGTTTAACCTGAACCTTACATGCTACTCGCACTCCCAGGCTGACCCTCAGGTTGAAATTAATAGCTTGTATCTGTTTAATATTTCTTTCCAGTGCACTGACAAATCGTTTCATCTGTGTTTAAATGGATCAGTGGTTTCCATCTTCGGTGTTTCCTCATTCCTGTTTTGTTTTTTATTAATCCTTTGCTGTTTGCAGGTCGTTTAAAAGTCCTTTGTTCACTGATTTTATTTCATAATATTCTTATGAAGTTGGAGGTAAAGGACATGTGTCATATTAACAGGTCTATGTTGTCTTGCTCCAATTAAAAGAGTAGATCGCATCTATACATTTAATGAGTTACATTACGGATGTGACAGTGTCATCATTGGCAGCTAACCAAAACATGCCAGTTGGGCACAGATTTCCTAAACACATGTATCAGTATTATTTATCATGCAAGCCATTAATTTAAAAACTGATGCATCTGTTACAATCATTGGTGCTCAAGATGGAGAAGATCCATAGGGAGGCTTTCAGCTTTCCATTTAGTGCTAAAGCGGAACTGAACTCTATCAGATGTATCATTATTGTCATTATTATTTAATATCCCCCTCTGCCTCCCCTGCGCACTAGCCACTTAACAGAAAACATGAGTAAAGACCTCATCTCGGATTGCTTGCCAGCTGAGTGATGGACTAGACATCACATACCACAAAGAGAATGGTCAGGATCCCCTTGGCATGGCTATATAGGTGCTCAGAGGGCGCAGGCCAGCTCAGTGGGGGACAGAAGGATTTTGGGGTTGTTTTTTCTGTTGAAGCGTAAATAGTACAGTTGTGAGTTGTTAAGAATGGCAGGATAGTGAATGAATTCAAGTATATCTGAGCACTGATACTTTATTAGCACGGACACCAAAGCATGCTAGAAAGAAGTATAATGTAATGTATTGCAGATGCTAAATAACAGAATGGTGACGGACTGACCAAACTGCTGCTGTAAATTTCCTCTTTCAGACTGGGTTCAGATGCTCTGCAAACATTGGGCAGTATCTAAGTCTTGCCCAGCGATTTTCACATTCATCACCCAGTGAGTTTTCCTCAGGAAAGCATATTTTGAACTTGTTCAGATCTTAATGAGTCACTTGTGAACTATCAAATATTTCTTACTCTATTCGGAGCATTTGAGATTCCTCAAATGACACCATCAGCTGGGGTGACTGCAAACATCATAAATAATCTTCTCAGTTTAATGAGTTACCATATGAGGAAAGCTCGCCTACCAGTCAAGCCTTACTTTGCTGCACACCAGCTGAGACTTTTGATATACTGTGAGGGCTACCTGTATTAAAACTAATCAGAGGTTATAGAGGAAACCCAAAGAGATCCAACCCACCACAATTTAATCTCCCCTCCAATAAAATGCACTCATAAATCAGGACAAGCTTATAAGTGCGGCCCTCTAACGCTTCTATTAGGAAACCTAAAACCACAAAAAGCTCAGTAGGACGTGAAAAACGTGGTAATGTCGGCAGTATTACACTAATTCAGAACACACAAGGAGCTGTAAGAGACATTCTGCTCTTACAGCTGGCTAATTAGACAAGATGGAGAAAGCAATTTGACAAAAATGGTGACGTCTCAGTTTCCATTTTGAACCTTAAAATGGACATATTTTTACATTTGTACTGAGCTTCCCAGATAAACAGAGAGATAAAAAAAGATAAAAGGTATTAAAATCTTCATCAGAGTTTTTACTTACTGAACGAAGAATTCTGACAGAAAGTCAAGGAAGCAAAATACAGTGCTTTTAGTAAAAGGTTACATAAAAAGCTGAGTTTCACAGAAATATGAGTATTTATTACAGGGAAAGCATCTCCCATGGAGAAAAAAAACAACAGTAGGAAAATATGTTAGAAATACTTTGATCAGATCTGGTAACGAGCAAACAACAGCATTAGTGCATTCAACTTGATCGAGAAAAGGCATGCTGATACAGCTGAATGACTGCAGTGAAAATCAGCCTCCTGAATTATCATTACTGTATCATGTTGTCCAGGTGGTAAATGAATATTCACTAAGAGGAGAGCAGAGACTCAGACTTTGTATTCAGGAGGGTGTTATCTCTAGAACTTCGGTCTACAGTGGATCAGTTCAGAGCTGCTGCAATCTGTGTAAGTCCACAAAGCTGAATATTATCAAAGCCAAGTTTTTTTAAAGACCTTGATTCTCACCTCCTTTGCATATGTACAATGTCAATGCTCTGTTCCAGAATTGCATTTCCATTTAGTGCTAAGAGAGGGACGAATCAAGATCCTTCTCCTTGTCAAAAGATTAATAATATATGTCCACATGGAGGAAGTTATGCAAGAAAGTTTTGAATAAGTACACTGGTTGTCTTAAGGAGTTGTGCTCCATTTTGCTTCAGTGTGATGTGCGCAGACTATTAATAATAGTAAATGCTTGTATTTAGGACAAAATTCAAGGAAGTGATTTGCAACAAAATCTGCATTCAAACCCATCTCTCAGTTTCTTTATACTGGTCATAAATCACTGACAGGACATTTATGATTGATTTACAAGGAAGTTTTATCTTACAATATATATACAAAAATAACAGTTGCCTTCTGAACAACTGTCCTTCATCCTAATTATGCAGCCAAGCATATCCTTGGTAATTGATAGTTAGGAAGTTTTCGGAAAAGAGACTTTGAAAGTTAGAAAGGAAGCTAAGGTTGATACTGGATGATATTTACAGGTTGTTATCGTTATTCACAGAGCCCCCAGTCACATCAGTAGAAGAAATTACATTGCAGGATCATATGAGAGCTAGAGTAGGCAATCGGACACAGTCCCCATCCTTGTGGTGGCAATATTGGTTATGGTGCCTTTATAGCACCAAATCCCACTAAACTCCAGGTATTATCTCTGAAAACAATGTCTCAGGGTCACTTCTTTCTTTGGGTTAGGTGCTGTCTATAACTTTCTTGTCTAAGTGCATATGGTTTCCTCATGGTGGAAATTAGATTTTAGTGGGGGATTGAATCCCATCTCTTGATGTTCTACCATACATATAAGAAGCTGGGACTGGTTTCTTAATCTACAGGAGAGATATATTTAAATGCACAGTGAGAAATTAGTTATCTTTTAAACCATTTGAACTCTCCATCCCATTTTCTGCTGTGAGATAACAATTAATATCCAAACGTCCACCGCTTCACCCTCAACATTAGCAGAGTGTCATTCCTGGATTGTGGACAACTTTTCATACTACAGAAATGTAGGAGATAGAAACTGTGGCTCTTTCTCAATGAAAAATAACTACTGAGGGCTCACCTGCAGGTCTACCTAAACAGCAAACATTCATGAAGAGCTTTCAGGATATTTCCTGTAACCCATTATTTTCTTTTTAAAATAGCAATGAAAAGTGGAGCAGGGATAGAACGTTAAGAACCTGTCAGGCTTTTCCTCTCCTTGTTGCTGCTCTGCATTTTGCTCCATTTCCTCCATGCTCATTAAACGCTCTAGAATTAGCATCAGATGAGGCTGTGTTTGAGAAGCCTCAAGATAACAAGCTCACAAAGCTCCTTTAATAACACCTTCCTCTCCCACATCCTGCCTTTTCTGTGAGGGGTTCATAGGAGAGTTGCTCTGTTACAGCAACTAAAAATGTGGGCTCTGTTAGCTTTACAGTAAGTGAACTGGGCATTATTTACCCTGATGGCCTTGCTCGTTCCAAGGTGAAGTAAAGCAACACTTTGCTGCCTTATGAGGTGCTATCAAATGTCTTGTTTATATTCGCTGACCTTCCATTGCGTTGCCCTGTTCTCATACTGGAGGTCAGTCAGAGAGCAAGTGCATTCTCTATCTTCCACTGACTTATCTAAGTTCCAGTGAGGTCAACGATTCCACTCTCCCCTGCATTCCTCCATCCTGCATTTTTATCATTACTTCAGAGATACTAGACTCCTTCATACCAAACACTGTAAGGATCCTTTGTAAGGGGAAGTTCCTGCCTCTAAGACCTTAATCATGCAAAAGATGCATCAAGACACAGATGCTT